TATGGTCTGTTTAGGAAAGAAAGGCAAATGAGTGTAAGTTGTATTTTACTTTATCAAGTTCCTATTTCTTTAATCGAATAATGAAACAACTTTCTTACCATGGTATTTGCATGTACTGTAGTTTTGTTATAAACCAATCATTTATTTGTAAAAAAATACAAGTTGAAAGCATCAAAGTTACCAATCATTTGAAATGAAAAATTAAACTTACTTAAGTGTAGCAGCCTTGTGTTTCCTATTTCCTTATGTACATTTTTTCGTATTAAGACATATGCATGAATCGACAAAAAAGATAAGAAAGATATCGTATATCAACCGCTGCTCATTCCAAGCAAGTTACCAATCATTTAAGACATGCATGAATCGACAAAAAAGATGCAAGATAAGACTTAAGCGCAAATTACTTTTTCCGATTAAAATACCTCAATGGCGGAGCTACATGGGGAGTTGGGGTACTACAGTATCCCTAAAAAAATTATTTTAGATATAAAAATAAATTATTTGTAAACAGGTTCTATGTTATTGTACCCCCATGTAAAGGCATTGTACCATGTCTTTAATGCATGAGATTGAATAACTACATAAAATATATATTTTATGATTGCTATAACAAGTGTAGAGAGAATAAATCCAGGAACAGCATGAATGATCAATTTTTAAATGATTGTTTAGTCACTTTTATTTGCAAGGATGTGTTTCTACAAGTTCTTGGTGACATGGGCGTAGTCACTTACAAGCAAGGTGGGTCCTAGGACCCACCTAATTTTTTAATATTATATAGTATTTGTATAAAAAAAATACGAATTACCTCTAAAAGAAATTAGGAACTACCTAATACTATTTGACAAAATAAGAAAAACAAATAAATAAAAAATAATGGCGGGCTTATATTTAAATTTCAAAGCAAATGGTTAATACTTTCAAAACCTAACACACATCAGAGATAAAAAGAGAGTTGAAGCTGTTTGATGTTATAAAAATAAATTATGAATAGTTATTAGGAAATTTAAAAAACAACTCAACTCCTCTCATATTGTTGGTCGTACAAAATGGTTGTTGCAAATGAACTTTTTAAAAAGGAAAGAGACTCGGTCGTGTAAAGTAGTTTTTTTTTGTTGCAAAAATCAGGTTTTAGGGTTGAGTAGACTGATTTTACCAGTTTTTAGCTATTCTATCGGTCCGGTTGAACTTGAGTTTTTACAAACCGGTCGTTTTTTTATTGGTTCGACCCGACCCGATATGTCATATATAACGTTGACTCTTTGGGTTTTCCGTCTGCACTTAATTAGGAACCATGTGCAATTCTATTCTAGATTCGCCATTGCTTGGTGACGATATCATTGATCGATTTCAAGTAATGAAGCGTTGGCGGATTCAATTGTAATTTTTGCTTAAATTATATTTTTTCTCATTTACGAATTTAAATACTAAAAAACTATTTGCATTACTATTTTGAATCTTAATAATGTTTGTATCCCTGTATTAAAATTTCTGGCTCCGCCACTGAAATACATTATATTGTAGCTTATAATATTTGTTAGTTTACAACTTGGTGATAATGTAAGGTTTTGCTATATGCATATCTAATACGTTGTTTGAGAATTTTGACATCAATTCATTAAGAGAATATCTGCTGTTCAAAAAAAAGTTCATTTAATATCTATCATCAACCACTTTTTAAATGGATATATCTCAAATTTTGAAAACCTTCATAAGAGCACATATTAATTCTTGTCATTTGTTTGTATTCATTAAATTTATTAATTTATCTTTATTATATTAATAAATATGATATATCTATCTGAGTGATTATATATTTTATATAGTGGATAGTGGATATGACAATCCCATTTGAAATATGGAGTTGGGTAACTTTTGTATCAGCCGTACCCATATACTCCCTCCCCTGGAATGAGCAAAAGAAAACATTCGTATTTTTATATTGTTTATTTTCTATTCATTTATCTTTTATTACAAAATACAAATAGACAATAGAAAAATAAACTGAGTAAAAAAGTAATAATCTCAATATTTCAAATATCACAAAAAAAAACCTTATTTGGAGTTGAGATTTTACATGGTTTTGAAGCAAATCAAAGATTATTACACAACTTTGGAAATATAACGGATAACCGGGTGCCCGTTTCGCATCTTCCTAAAACAATTAACAATAAAAAAAAAATAGGGTCGGGATGAAGCAAAACTCATGAGTGAATTAATACAGCTTAAAATACAGAAGAGATTATTGAGTTGAAACCGAGAAAGACTGGTGACAACACAAGGCTCATATAAGATTAATGGTGAAGGAGACATAAGGATGAGTGTCAGCATCACCACCCAAGCTGCCCATTCCTCCATCATCTTCTGTTTTCCAGAACGTGCTGCACAACAATACCCAAATCCAATCTCATCAAAAACGGTTATTCAGTTGGATCAGATAAAACAAACAAACAAACGGATTGGGGTGGGAGGGATAGCGTGGGGGAGGGGGTATTGAAGAACCTCCATTCCTCTTTTTTTTTTTTTTTTTTTTTTTTTTTTCTTTTGGCTTATTCAATTGTATTGTTGAGTGTTTGTGGTCTACAAGAGTCTTAATGTTGAATACCAACACCCATATCCTGTGGCTGTATATATCCAAAATTCTAGTCATGAAAAAGACAAGTTTTACCAAATGGTCCGCCCTCAATGGATAGGGTAACACATGCAAGAGGATTCATTCATTGTACCAGAAATACCTACATACACATTACACAATGGGGACTGGACCTCGTTTCTTGAACTCAATATAGGGTAAGGGAAGGGATATTGTTTGTTTGTTTCTTCAAGTATAAGACTTAAACTAACTAGTTAATTTTAGTCAGTGATGGAAGATTGATAGAAAATTAGAAATTATATTATAATTTATATGACAACTTGCCTGTTTGAACTGCTGCATAGAGTTTCAAGGATGGAACCTACTTTCTTCTCACTCTTGACCGATGGTGACAGCACAACAGACTGAAACCAACCGAATAAAAGTTTTATTTATTAAAAAAAAACATATGAAGGAAACCGTTTGGATGTGATGCAAAATTTAATTACCAGAAATGAAGGTGGCAATCCGTATCTCAAAATGCTCTCAGCAAACAAACGTACAACACAAAAGTGCATCCAGGAAGTGAAAACCTGCAGTTGGGTTGAAGTTAAGTTGGTAACATTTAGGTGTGTTTTAATTTTCTTAATCAACTTAGTCTGTAACTTATATATGGATATGATTATGGGTGGCTAACAGAAGGGCCTAGAAGGAGCCCAATCCACATTGAAATGGAAAAGCCCACACTACCAGTACCACTATGATTATGCTTGTTGAGATTCAAACAAACCCTTGACCATTTCTGCAATTATACCACCCTCAAACCAACATACTCAAATTGTTTACAACAAAAGTCAAATGGATTTATTCAACAAAATTTAATAAATAGTTTTGTACTCATATTTAATATATCACATCATATCATATATGATGCAAAATAAAGAGTCAATCTACCCTCTACAAACTAATTTCTATTGAGGTTTGCTAGCTAATAGTTGTGAACAAGCATGACTTAACCATAATAAGTTCCAACATTAATAGCAAGAAGAAGATTCTCAGAGATACAAGTACCTCCCCATAACTTGTATAACACCAATTCAAAAGAGAGTTTCTCAGGGATTCCTGGTCTTCAATCAGTTTTTCAAGCTCCTGCTTTCGACTCTCTTGAGTTTCTGAATTATATTCAAAATCGCGAATCTGAACCACAATTTCAAATCAACAATCAACCTTAACAAAACTTGCATGTTACCACAAATTAAGACAAAGGAAAAGGTTTCCAGTTACATGTTTTAATAACCCTAGCCCCTAGGTTTTATATAAGTAGATTGATTGTTCAACTTCAATCACAGTAACAAACAAGCAACTTGATTGATGAAAAACTCACTTGAAACCCTCTTTCGCGTGCCTTGGTTCGAAAATTGTCAGCATCACGCACGAATAATGTCACAGTATAGATAGCATACTCATTGTCCTCATGTAAGTTCTTGGAGGATCTGGGGACCTAAAACAATTAGTTCAATCAAAGGGTAGAATTTCCAGAATAATATTCTTCAACTAAATTATGAAAATTATATGCAGCATCAATAAAAATCAAAACAGCATGGCTCCATTACCACATAAGTGGTCAGTGTCTCATAACTTGACAACCAATCCTTCTGTGAAAACTTGGGGACAACAGCAATGAGAGTGACCAAATGTTCTGAAGTCACAAGATCCTCTGGTGCCACTAAATTGGACAGATCACAAACAGCTAAGCTACAAAATTAAATGAGTCAGATCAGGTCAGGTGGATTATAAGAAATACAATAGAAACCTTTTTCTGTCCCTTGAATCCTACTACCTCACACTACTTATAAATCATTGATAGGCATTAATTAACAGATTTTTACCTTCCAGTCTGCTTTATGTTAATTGCATTGAGTTGACTGCGAACATTGTTATACTCAGCAATGCGTACCTGTCACAGTGCAAGCCACAAAAGCATCAAAAACCCAACCAAGTATATTCCAAATACATAGTATCAACTCAAGTAAGTAATTTGTGCTTCAACAAGGAAAACAATAAGGATAGTGTTGCAGATCACACGATAAAATGAGCAATCAATGTAATATTGTAGTGCATAGTACCTATTGATTTGTTTCTTGTATGTTTAGTGGGGCAAGAGAAGACAAATTAAATAGATTATTTTGGAGACGAAGTACATTTTGTACAACATTGTTACAGAAGAAAAATGAATGAGAAAATCAAAGAATCGAAAGAGTTTAATGGTGAATGGTGGAATCGATTGACCATTCTTTTTTTTTTTTCTATATTGTTCTTGGTCTTCTTCTGCATTGAGGACGTTTAACTAATCAAATCTACCATGCAAACACCTACATAACTTAGGTGATCGTACTCTCTCGGGTACATAATGGCTAAAAAAACTCTATAAGAATTCAAATTGACTAATTGAGTTCTTACAAACTCAAGCATGAATCCTTATTTGTTTTGCGTTCATATTTGTACTCAAACTTGAACAAGTTCAAATCAAGTTTGAGCTTGAATTACTTGATAAAAACTCAAAAGTATTCACAGCCCTATTTCTACCAACTAATACATGATATGCAATATTATGCATGTTGAAAAATGCCATGTGTTCCCAAACCATTTAGAGTATTCTATCATATGGAATTCAAAACTTTAAATCGAATTTATGATCAAACCGTAGAATCTTAGTTCCTCATTGCAGAAATCAACTCTGCTGCCTTACAAAATGAAATATTCAAATGCCATAAATGTCACTACAAACTCAGTATATCATTCTAAAAGTTGTTTGTTTCTAAACCTTCTTATTTCCCTTTGGAATGAATGATTCCAATGACAAAAAGGCTTTTTAATCCTCACTTTTGACATCTTTAGGAGGTGCAAAACTCCTGCTAAGCTGAGATCTTGTCCATGGATCCAATGCTGGCCTTTGAGGTGGTTGTGGAGCTGGGGGTTTCGACTGCCTAAGCTCATTCTCCCTATCTATAAACCTGTTAATAATTAAAAATATTCACAATACAAAAATACTGAAAAAACATGCATTAATTATAAATCCTCAAAGTCATGAAAAAAAAAAGAGCCATCAGACTGATAAGGTTTCAATGACAAATGAACATCATTAATCAATTTCAACTTAAGAGGAGTTGGGAGGGAAAAGAGAAGGGAAATAGGTAAAGGGTTAAGTGTCTGTCTTAATATATGTTTTTTTGGCTTAACCCATTAAGTCGTTCTGTCCAGATTAAGCCAAAAAAAAAAACATCCATTAAGCCCATTAAGTAAAAAAGAAACAGCTTACAAGTGCTATATGGATAAAGTGCTGCCTAGATAAATGACATTCAACATGCTTTGGAAAATGGAAGAAAAAAGTAAATGACAATAAAGGACTCGAAGCCAAAAGTGATAACAAATCTTACTCTATATGTGCCATTGGTGCAGCATCACCAACTCTTATACGAGTTCTAAGTACTCTTGTATATCCTCCTGCCCTATCTCTGCAGCAACAATATATTGTTTAACCATGGTTAATATTTGAGTAAATGAGAATAAAAAATTTTGACCAAAGGATGGGTTTGATGTTCACTTGTATCGGTAAGCCAGCTCTGTAAATAGTTTGTGAATGACATCATCCCCTCGCACAAAGGCAGCAGCACGCCTGGCAGCACAAAGGGTACCCTGCAAAAGTTATAGGGAAATACTATTAATCAATTGTATATGAAGTACCAAATGATAAAGAGAAACTATTTTGTAATGATTATATGGACAAATATGTAATTTAGCATCAAAACTTTAAAGTTTTCATCTAAAAGTGGAAAACTTTGCAATATTCATGAGGTTCATGATGGAGAGAATATGAAGTACAATAGTAATAGTAAGTTGCAGGCTGCACACACCTCTTTACCAAGCTGCACCATGTTATCAGCAAGACGGCGGACTTCTTTGGCCTAAAACTACAAGTAAAGGAAATGAAATATACAAAAAATACTAATAATAATAATAATACTAAAACAATGAAAGATAAAGAAGAAAACAGGGCCTATAGAACACATGTATCAACTGAATTGGCGAAACTACTAAAAACAATGAAATATAATTTACTAGGCTAGTAGTTCACCTTGGCAGCAGTAGTTTCTATTCGTTCATGCTTCACCAACTGAGAGACCATGGTCCTGAAGAAGTAGAACACTTTAGCGTTGTCTTCCTAGGTGGCATGCAATGGTAGATGCAAAAATGTTTGACAAAATGAGTATCACAAACCTGAGCATGGAGATTCGATGACCTGTAGGACGATTGAGCTTCCTGAGCTTTGTCATGATGTTTGACCAATGACTCTGTTTATGGTAGCATCATTCAGAATCATCTTCAATATAGTAACATTTCAGCTCAGATCATCAAGAAATATCGTATCAATGGGAATCTAGAGATAAAAACTAATGCATACTGGACTAAAAGTTCAAGATTGAAGCCTGAAATGTGTGCTATCAGATTCTTAATGCTTTTTTATTTTAATTAGCGAACAGGAAGGGATACCGCCTCGGTGCTAGATGGTTGAAATTATTACTGGTTAACAATCAACGAGAGCCATATCTTAATTTCCTACCAAATAAAAAACAAACTCCACTTCATTTTGAAAGAAAATGGAACAACGAATTATTCAACTTATAGAAAGTTGTATCAAAATTAAAACCCTAACAAGAGAGAAAACCAAAATTGATATTCATATACACACTTACTACTCTCTATGAGTATGCGTGTTTGCGAGGAGAGTGAGAGCGACCAGAGAACTAACCAGTCGAGATGGAGGAGCTGCTTCTGCTATTACTGCTGGTGTTGGCTAGACGGCGGAAACGATGATCCCATGCTTTATTACTAGAAAGAGGGCTAACTAAACGAGTCGCCTCCCCAACGTTTTAACTAGTGACAGAAACTACCCTCAAGGTAAACAATTGACAAAAACAAACCTTTTTTAATGAATACAAAAAACATGACTTGTGAATGTTAACAAAACTAAAAAATGAAAAAATATAATTAAGAATGATGTGCTTACGAAGACGTGTCTTTCCATAACATGGCATCAATGTACACATTTATACTTCAAAATATTAAATAAAATATAAATATAATTTGGTTAAAATGACAATGGTCAACACTTTAAAAGCCGCACACCTTAGTATAATAATGCATGATAAATTCTATAACTAACGTCTCGAGCAAAATGGACTAAACTACTTGAATTGTTAAACTATCTATTATACTCGTTATTCATTTTTTTTTATCATTTTGTGTAATGTCAATATCACATTACTCCCCTCCTACATCGTTCACACCCTCTTTCAAACCATATTATACTTATTTTTCATCTTTCAGGTGTAAAGTACAAGCAAACACAAACACGATATACGAATGAGAAAAAGGAAAAGACAGAATGAGAGAAGAATGACGACTCACAAAAGAATGAAAATATATGAGAGATATTGTAAGTAAGTCCCAAGCAAGTGTCACCAAGGGTCGGCTTGATGTTCCCGTTGGTACTCGAAGCCACCTTAGCACTCCGATCCTTTTTTCGAGGGATACGTAACATATAGCCTTATGGCATACATAGTGGGAGCTCAATAGAAAATGGCATATGGCTTAATGAAAGTTCTATGTATAATGGGTTGATGACATGCCATTCAATAACATGAAGAGTTCAACACTCATTAAACTATACGGTGAGTAAATGGTTGACCCTCATTATATATTATATTCGCTAAAAATCATATAGATATATTTTGATACTTCAATAAAATGTTTGTTTATTGTGTATTATATATAATAATATATTACGTTAGATAAAAAAAATTATTTTTGATTTATATACTAGTTTTTATTATATTTTAAAATAATATAAAATGTCATTTAAAAATGTATATTAATAATTTAAAGTTTTAATAATTAGCAAATAAATAATGTATAAAAATTAACATGATAAAACATCAATATTTTACTTGGATCCAAGTGACATGTCCGTGAAAAAACATGAGATTTTGAGGAACCATTATGAGAACATCAAAATAAAATATAGTAATTTGTACATATCATATCTTTTAATTAGTATATTTTTAGGCATCGTAATATTTGATTAATATCCTTTTATTTATCTAAACTTTTAGTTTTCATAACTTTTAAAATTTAGTTTATGTGTTTTTAACTAATGTATCTTTGAATTTTATGCAATATCAGTTCTATCTAAAAGTATTTAAAAAAAAGATAGGGAAATAATGATGCAACAATTTACTGAATTTTATAAAATTTAATGCATAGTAAAAAGGATGATAGAATTTTAATGGATTGTGAAATGTTTATATAGCAACTCATTGAACTTTTATAGAGTTCAATGTATCTTGGCTTCCTATAGTAGTTTTATATCATCTGAATAATTAGGACTTTTGAGAAGTTGTGATACATTAACAAAAGTATAGGGGATAGAAAGCAAGATAGTACATACTATAAGGGTGTTAAGTGCTACTTTTTGTTGCAACTATAAAATGTCTTCCATTTGCAAATCAGATCGAGAAGCCTTCAGAATCACTTCGTGATTTCCAACACCGACTGTGGTATTAGTATTATTCTCCGAAGAATTAGGGGCTTGGATTCTGTCGAATGCCTAGTGAATTGAAGTAACTGATCGAAAATCTCAGCGGATCAGTAAACGAAGTGGCATTAAATGAGGCTCTTACATTTGGCATTCATCGTTGCTTTAGCATCTGGAGTTGCAGCTATTCTCATCTATATCACCGGCGTTTCTAACCTAAGTATGTTTACTTTTGTTTTCTCTGAGTTGCATCTGCAAATTTTATATTATTTGTTTAGTTTGATTTGATGTTATAATTGCTACTCGTGAGTAGACGGAACACTCAACATTTCGGATGAAGAAATGGAAGCGTTGCAGTCGTTGCAAAGTGGATTTCAAAAGTGTGTGGTGAGTTTTTCATATAAATTAGTTGGATTCTTGATTATGAACTTGACATGAAATATTTTGTAGTAAAATGGAGTATTTACAAGTAGCTATATGACCTTAGATGGTTCAAAAAGCCAAATACGGCTATAGGTTGTTAAATTTGTAGCTATACTGAGTTCACTAGAGATATTATTGAATTGGGAAGCGTTAGCTAATGGATTATACTGTATTAAGTTTTCTGATTAAGCCTTCATGGCGTGAAGATCTAGGATAAAGCTACTAAGCTGATTCAGAGCATATTTGCGCCTTGATGCATATAGAGTACCAATTTATATATTGAGAATATAGAACCATCAAAAACGTAAAAGCCTGTTGTTTGGTAATTTCAGAGGTTTGATGTGTGCAACTGCATGCTGTGAATTGATGGAAAGAGTGCAAACCCTAATCCTAATGGATGCCTGGTGTACATTTTCATATATAACAAATATAAACACCTAACACATGCATTAATGTATCTGTTCCATACCAAAGTCAGGCTTGTCATATATGATTAAAAAGCTTATGCAGTAACTGTTAGAAGAGGAGCACTAATTGTCCATCACTATGATATGATGTGCTTACTTTGTTCACATTGATTCAGAGGGCCAATGGATTAGGACTGCAGGCTATCAATGGCAGAGACTACTGCAAAGTTACACTACAGTTCCCTAGTGATACCATCCCCAAATGGGTAGGTTATCTCAAATTTTTGAATTTTCATGATCTAACATCGTAAAGGTACCCTCAGGTACAAAGGGGTATTGCCTCTTGTTGGACAGATGTACCTATACCTTGCAGTTTGTAATTAATATCTGAATTATCGGCTTTCACAGAAAGACCCCAAAACTGGGAATGTAGAGGGCTTATCTTTCGAGTTCAATCTGTGTGAAGCAGTTGCCACATGGGAGCAGGTTAGTATCTAATGTCTACTCAGTTCTATACTTGTCGCCTTTTTTAAGCAATTTGTTTTTATGCCTAAGGAAATCTACACATGATGCCTTCTTATTTAACACAGAAAAGTTTGAATACATGATCTCGATATGTTATTATTTTGTCATGAGGCCACCTTATACTAAAGAAATTCCATGTGGGGGTTTCATCTACATTCTGTTAATGTTCTGTTTCTAATAAGCTGAGTTGTCCAGGTACGAAACAGTACAACCATTCTCACCAAGGAATTCATTGATGCTTTACCTAATGGATGGAAAGATTATGCATGGCGGAGGATTAATAAAGGAATACTCCTGTAAGTCTCAAACCATTACAAAAACAAAAATGCACTGGTAAATTCTAGTAAGGCATGTGAAACAGGCATTTCATTATTGTATTACTTTTATGTTCTATCTTTCAACCATACCCTCCTTTATCCAAAGAAAAGAAAAGAAACTCAGGTTGCCAAAAGTTAAATTTCTTCAAATTTCAAGAAGTAGTGATTTTTCAGTCTGATGTGTTGCATGTCTTATGCAGTAACAACTGTGCAAATAAAACTCTATGCATGGAGAAACTTTCTTTGGTATTACCTGAAACACCACCATATGTCCCACACCAGTTTAAACGCTGTGCAGTTATTGGTAACTCAGGAGATCTGTTAAAAACAAAGTTTGGTAAAGAGATTGATGATTATGATGCTGTTCTAAGGGAAAATGGTGCACCAATCCAGGTATGTATGTATCTATTACATCTAATTTTCAGCACATAATTAAAACTATTTAACTCTCTCTTCTCCCTCTTTTGTTGCAATGAAGAATTACACAGAACATGTGGGTCATAAAAGTACATTTCGCCTACTCAACCGAGGTTCTGCTAAAGCTCTGGATAAAGTTGCTGAGTTATATGGTATTGTAATAACTCTGCATGTGTGAACTTGATATGCTTTCACTACAAGCATACTAAACTTTTCACATTCTACAGATGCTGGAAAAGAGGTGCTGCTTGTCAAAACTACAATCCATGACATCATGAACAAAATGATTCGGGTGAGCATAATCGTTACTTGGCATCCTACTTTGACATGTCATTTTATGTTTTTTACAGGAGATAACAGTTGTGAATTTTATATTGTAGGAAGTTCCAATTCTCAATCGCGTATATCTCATGTTAGGTGCATCATTTGGTTCAGCAGCAAAGGGAACTGGGCTCAAGGCTCTTGAGTTTGCTCTTTCAGTATGTGATACAGTTGACATGTATGGATTTACAGTGGATCCCGGCTATAAAGAATGGTACACAAACTTATATAAACTTTTCTCCTATCTTTACATTGTTGATATTTGATAACAAAATATCGGTTGCTAAGAATTGTGCATTGTAACTGATATTTTCTTATTGCTTTCAGGACAAGATATTTCTCAGAGTCTCGACAAGGTCATACCCCGTTGCAGGGTAGGGCTTACTACCAGATGATGGAGTGTTTAGGAGTAAGTTCAGATAATCCACCTACTCCTTGTACAAGATTATTGTATAGTGTATACTGCTATTCCTGTTTTCCACTTTTTCCTAACTAATTTAATGTTTTTATTTTCTAAATGGAAAGCTTATCAAGATTCATTCTCCTATGCGGGCTGATCCAAACCGTGTTGTGAAATGGGTACCCAGCCAGAGTACTATCACTGCTGCCAGACGTGCATCAGAGAAAATGCTGAGGTATGTAGTTTTCACATTTAGTATTGTAATCCTCTTTATAGGGCGGGTTGATCCACCAACACTTTTTTGTTGATTTTTAATTGCATTAGCGATTAGTATGTTAAATATGATTAATGAAACTATTACTAAATAATAATCCGTTTAAATAAAAATCAAATTAGAGATTTGTAAACACTTGAGTATATTTCACGTTCACGTTTGCTGTAGCGTTTGACCCGTTATCAAAAACATATAACCAAAATTGAGCACCCATTTTTCACATGAATGGGTTGAAATGAAGATTGATTTGAATAATGAATAATGAATAATGAATAATGAATATGATATAGGTGGGTTGCAGCAGGGTCAGATGACCCACTGGCATCTTGTTCCATGATCAAAAAGAAGCTTCAGAAAAGTCAATATCCAAGCCTCAGAAAGGCTGCTTTGGATCATCAAAAATATGTGAAAGAGACGACAATGTACCCTTTGGAGCATAGTCCAGGACATAGTCAACTCTGCACAGTGTCCAACAGCTGAACCAACAACACCCATCCAATACGCATGTATGCTCAGAAAGTCAGTCAGAAGAACGAATGCCTGGAGTTCTGTGAGCTTCTGCAGGAGTAGCATACTAGCATAGACTTAACCATATACTGTAAGTTTCCATACCCTATCATACTAACCTATAAATTAAGTCGCATGTGGTTTGTTTACACACGAAAGGACTGGAACTGAATTGGACAAGCTTTCCCAAGCTATATTCTAATGATAAGGATGAGGGCATTTACGTCTTTTGCTACAGACGAGAGATTGACACTTGAGAGCGAATCACTGTCCTACCTTTTTGGGCGTAGTCAAAATCTTGCTAAGAAACACTGCCTTAGAAAACTGAATCCTACAGTGTTATTGCCCTGGCACTGTGGCACATTATTCTTAATTTGGGTTTTGTACTCTATTTTCCTTCCAGGTTGGCTGGCATTTCTGATCACATCTGGAGGAAGTTTTGGTTTCATTGCAACACACTTGTAAAATTATGTATTCATTGCTCTTTCATTTTGTACACATCATTTATGTTTTTGCTTCTTTATAGGTTTTACTGTATTCACTGCTTGGGTGCCAATTCTGAAGAGGTTCTGGTTCTAATATTTGTAATTGAAATAGTTGCTAGGAATCTGATATCCTCCGTGTCAACTGGTTATATATATTTTTAACTTATTTTTTAACATTCAAACTAGATAAAATCTGGCTTCAACAAGCTCAAGTCACTTAAACTTAAATAACCGAATAAGAATTGTATTCATAATATGCAAACCAAATGGCAAGATGGTAAAAACAATAAAGTTCTTCAGACTATCATTTCTCTTTCTTCTGCTCTTTGTACAGCTTCTATTTACCGTTTTCATATACAATTGACAATTGTTTCAATGAATAGTGTAAACTACATTTTTAACTGGCATCCAGTGAATGCTAATGGCCAAGTAACATAAACATGATGCACCACACAACATATGTTTAAAAAAGTATCACAATCAAAATGTCTTAATAAAGCTCATCATATACAAAGTTTACAAACAACAATCGATAATCCCATTTCACCAAATTACTACTTACATCCATGCCGCCACCTCAATATTAGCATTTTGTCATAAACTAGTTGAAGCATAACTCAACAGCAAAACATCCATTTCCAGGCCTCGTGGCTTTGTGAGGAGCCCGTAAATTACAAATAAAACAAAACCATTTTATCATAAATGCTTCTAGCTACTGATATACAAGAAATGGCTTAGATAACTCCATTTTTAACCATTGACTTGCTAAATTACAGCAGTTATTAGCATTCTTCTTTAAGAAAGCATCAGCAAGATTACAGATGATTTAACTACTAACATTTGAAGCCAAAAAGTGAGGCAAATTACACGCAAACAAACCATTTTTTACCAAAAACACTACTATATCTTGATAACTCTTAACCATTAACTCACTAAATTGCAGCAGTTATTAGCATTCTTCTTTAAGAAAACATCAGCAAAATTAAAGATAAAATGCATCCTTTGAAGCCAAAAATGAGGTAAATTATAGATAAATCTTTCTTAAACCATTAATTCACTAAATTGCAACAGATATTAGCATTTTTCCTTAACAAAACATCATCAAGGTTAAAGATAATCCAACTGGTATCTACAAACCATAAAACTGCATCATTCAACACAACTTGAACAACAAAATCTATCCGGTAGCTCTTTCCTCATTGAACTTCAAAAGTTATTGACATTCTTCCCTAAGACAACATCCGCAAAAATTATAGCTAATCCGACACTAATCTACATACCATAAAACTGCATCATTTGAGGTCAAAAAGTGAGGTAAATTAGGAGTAAAACAAACCATTTTATGACAAACAAATTATTACTATCAAAGTACAAGAAAAAGGCTCAAACCAGTCCAGTTTTAGACCTTCTGTCTTTGCAATTAGCATGAATCGCATTCATCATGAGAACCCTTTACCGAGTTTTTCAATCGAACAGAACATTTTTCTCCGTGATCCTACTGCATTTATTCCCATATCTTTAAGATCCTCTAATGTCAATAATGGCAAAACTTCATCATCAACTTCATGTACTTCAAAAACTGGAGCATACCTTCCCAAACCTAATTGATTCAACCAAACCCTAACTCCATTCCTTTCTGGATGGTTATTGTTCCAATTTCTTGCATCAGTATCAGAAGGTCCATCTGAAACCCTAACCCTAGTTTCTTTACCTCTATTCCCACCACCGTAATCCAATTCCATTTCGTTATCCATCGAAAAATTCAAACTCTGATCATCATCATATTCGAAATCATCCGCATCATCAAATTTCTCATCTCCTTCATCCATTTTCGATCCCCAATTGGATCTAACACGTTTTGTTGCAGAAAACCCCCTTTTTGATTTCGAACAACCCCTAGCTTTCCAACTCCCAATCAAACCGTTAGTATTATTATTGTTACCATTGTTCATATTATGATGATTCACATTTCCTCCATCTTTATCTTCAACGACATCTTGTAATTCTCCGTTAACTGCGCCACCGCCGGTTGTTAGATTTACGAGGGGCCGGGTTTTCGAAGATTTGGAATCCTTAGATGAAAACTTCCATTGATGTTGCTTGGTTCTTCGTTGACTATCATATATATGTTGATCTCCGATGTCGCCTAGTCGAACGCTTGGCCTACGCTGCCGTTTTGGTGGAGCCACCACCTCAGCCTCTACCGGAACACCCACCAAAGGCCCCCCTCCACCTCCATTGATTTGACCCTCCACCGATGGTGGTAGCTCAGACATTTTCCCCGTAGTGTAGAAATGTAAAGAGATACTTGTGAAGTGCCTATGTATGTGTGTATATATATATATATATATATATATATATATATATATATATATATATA